GAGGAGCCGTCAAACAAGGGCCTCAGGCAACATGTAAGGACCCTTTTCTCAGAGGTAAATTTAAAAAGAATCAAACTGAACTGTTTGTTAAAAGTCTGATATGTTTAAACATGAACTCATTACCTTTTCTGTTAATGTTCAGAAGTAACATCTAAATCTACCTCTTGTAAGTTCACAGATGAGATGGGAAGGTTTCAGGCACTTTCTCATGAATAGTCGCCTCAAGCACACCCGGCAGTGCGGGGAAACTGGCCAGGAGAAGAGAAAAACAGTCGGTAAATGGAGCCAATGTGAATGAGGTAAGTGACAGTTTGATGTTATGTGAAGGGATTCGACTAGCAGGTGCTTTGGAGGCTTTTTTAAAACACACACTTTAACTTTTGTGATTTGTAAATTTTTTTTCATGAGCCAAGAACAGCGAGGTAACGAGGCAAATAATAGACTAAATTAATTAGCAAAATGACTTTTCATATCGTCTCACAATAAACCTCTCAACATATTATCACAAATCAACAAGCCAGACCACCGATCACTACTGACTCTTGCATGAGCGCCCCAGAATAATTCAGACCACTGTCACTGAAATAGTCGTGGTGGAGCAATTTCAAAGTCTGTGATTGTGTGATGTGGCCAAAACTCTAACCACAAAGTACTGCAGCAGATCCCTCAAAACATTACCTGGCTTTTCCACTCGAGTGGTTTATAAGCTACAACGGGCAATATCCCTCCGTTAACAAACAATTGTGTTTTGCACGTCTTGATGTTTGGGTGATAAATGCGTGAGATGTGAACATTCGAAATAAGCACCAGAGTTTGTTTGGATTCCTCGCAGTCAAAAAACGCAGACGGCAATGGAAAAATGCTGTTGACAACTGGTAAGAGATGTGAATCAGCCAATATAAACACATTTCAACAGATTTCTTTTATTACTGAATATGAGTTGGTTTTATATGTTTGATAAGGGATTTGCTTAGAATTGGGTGTTTGACCTTTTGTGGAAAGTCATTTGAATGTTATTTCCAGGAATGACAGTGACATTGCAATGCGTTCAAAGCATCTTTTTCTGTAGTTTACACAAAAGCTTTGAGACAGTTGCACAGATTCACGAAAGTTCAGCCCGGCCCGGCCGTCTCCATTACGTCTCTGACATGTTGGCTACATATGCTCCCCTGATAGATCATCCTAATCAGTGTTAGCATTGTGCAGACCGTAAACATTTCCAACGTGAGATTAATCTTTCAGTGTGTTTTGTATCTTGCTGTAGTTTGCTGGCGGCAATGTTAGACTGACGAATCTTTTCGGTTTTTCATAGTATCCTGTTTATGATGGTTGTGCTTTGAAATCAAAATTGGTGTGACAATCTATCTAAAAATCTATATTAAGTCTATATTATTTATTTATTTCTCCTGTCAGCAGAAGGCCTGGATCGAATTCTTCTGATTAAAGCTGTTTGTGCAGCGCTGGTGGGGATTTTTGTGATATTAGTCCAGAAACTAAGACTTTTATTACTCCAAATTGCTTCAGAGGGACTGTGTTTGCAATTGACTTACAGTAAATTGCTTAGGATAAATGTCTGCTAAATTATACATTTTAATTTCCGCTTCATTTTATTTGGCCTAATCAAAGATGTTGTACTAAAAAAGTACTTTGCTCTGCGCCCATTACCTTCTTTCTAGCATACATCAATCTGACATGAAGTAAACATTGTAAACATGACCTCATTGCGCAAAATGTAGTGTATGAACTGCCATTGAAGTCATAATCCGAATCAGATAGCGAATAGTATAAAGAATGACCCCGCCCCATAGCATTTTCTGTCGCTTTAACATATTCACCGCAAACAAATAAATACAATAGAATGACAGTTTTGAATTTGACAGGAAATAACTGTGGTCGCTCAGACATCGTGAATCAACTGCATGCTGAAAATGAGCTTATGGCTTTGCTTGGTCTTGTTTGGATGATGGGTTCCGCTCCACCCAGATACAAATGTTCTGGTTTCTCTGCTGATCCCAAAAACATTTAGTCGTCTTGGTTGTAAACATTTAATTGAGTGTTTACCAAATTGTGGACATACGTTTATTTGCTTAGATACATTCATAGTTGTTTTGAAGGCCATTTTTAGCCCGTTTAGGTGCGTGTAGAGCTTTTCAGTGATGACGTCAGTTTGAAGGCCAACTTGGAAAGCTACAGTTGTTTGTTCCTTTGGGAGTTTCTAAATGGTTTTTAGGATAATTTTTTAATTTATGAGTAAAATAAGGTCTGTGGTTAACATTACTCGAAGAGATTGTAATAAATTACACCTATTTTCATACCACATATGTACCATAGATGTGAATTTTGAAATAATTTTTGCATAAAAACTACAACTACATGTTATTTTGAACATACTATTTTAAACATTTTCATACTTTACATTTGAGGTACACTACTACACTATCCAAAAGTTTGGGGTCAGTATGATTTCATTATTATTATATATATATATTTTTTTTTTGGAAAGAAATTAACACTTTTATTCAACAAGTGACAGTAAAAACATTTAAAATGTATTAAATGATTTCTATATCAATGCTGCATTTAGAACTGTCTATTGAAAAAGATGTATCACGGTTTCCACAAAAATTGTGGACAATATTGATCATAATAAGAAGTGTTTCTTGCGCATTAAATCAGTGTATTAGAATGATTTCTGAAATATCATGTGACACTGAAGATTGGAGTAATGATGCTGAAAATTCAGCTTTGTCATCACAGAATAAATGACATTTACAGTATATTTAAATAGAAAGTTATTTGACACTTTAATAATATTTCACAATTTAAATGTTTTTGTTGTATTTTAATTAACTAAATGTAGCTCTATTGCCTCGAATCAGTGATCATTGCATGTCGCCACTAAGGAAACATAGTGTTTAAGGAGTAAAACTGTCTGAAACTTACAAAAGTTTATGTCCTTGTTTACCGTCCCTGTAATAGTCAGATGTCTCTCGCCATGTGCTACCGAAGGAAGAGGATCTACAGTATATCTTTATTTTCTTTCCCATCTAGCACACATGAAAATTTGCAGGTTTTTTGGACTCGAGGGTGTATGAGTCAGTTTTTTCTTCATTTTTCAGCCTAACTCGCTGCCAAGCCTGTCTTCTCCCTAAACTCCTTTCATATAAATAAACTATATAGTATATTTTTTCAGGAAAACTTCATCTCCTGTCTAATGTATTTTTTGTATCTAGATTTTGGCATGGCCTTGCGATCCCATGGGCTCTTAAACATTATCACTTGATATACCATGTAGACTGCAGTATGCATCGCTTCTCCTCGATGGATGAACTTTCAGGTCATTGTCAAGGTTTATTTGCACTCTTTTGCTAATGAAGAAATATGAAATGTATACATTCATGCTTTAAATAAAACAACATAAAAATGCTGCAGTTATTTGTTTAAGAGGGCTGCCACACAAATAGGCCTACACAACTATATATCTATCTTGCATGTGCTTTAGTATGTTATCTATTCTATTCTAAAGTATTTTTAAAAAATCATTATTTCTATTTTGAAGGAGCATAGAATGTATAACTGCAATATACTTACATGGAACAAACTAATTATATTATCTGTCAATTTATTATTTAAACAAGATGAACAGAACTTTCCCTGAAACAAATAAGGATTTTTTCTTACCACATATTATATGGGAGCTCATCCAAGCAGACTGCAGTTGCCTTTGAGGCTAAAAGTGATTTTCCTTATGGATGCATTGATAAAAATATTATATAAAGTGTTTTGCACCATAATGAAACTTTTGAGTGTGTTCTGCACAGTACAAGGTCCTTAGGAGTGCTTTGCCTTTATCTGTGTCAAAAGGATTTATATGCAAACAGACAGTGATTTGTTCTTTTGTTGTCTCTTAGGATTGATGAGGCCAGAAAGTGATCCAAGGTCATGGCTCCAGCTCTGCAGCAGATGAAAGTAAGCGTCCTCCAGGGCGTTCAACATGCTTCTCTTAGACAACCACCAGATGGGAGGAATCGTTCAGTTACATGACCTGACGTTAAATCTGTTGTCTTGGCCTTCTCTCGCTCACTCTCACCCAGACCACATCGCAAACTTGTAAGAATGACGGATTTCTCAAGATCAGGTTTTTTTTCCTACACCTTTTTTCTCCTTATATATTTTGCATGTGTGTTTATTTTTGTTGTGTCAGAACTGTATATTATATAATATGGATTGTGTGGTTTGAATTATAAATCAGATGGTGTGCTAAATTATTTTCGTAGGCAATAACAAATAAACATGGTACTGAAATAGATAGATAGATAGATAGATAGATAGATAGATTCTACATTTAAATTAGGGTAGAGTGGGGGAAATGCCCCCCTAAGAACTGTGTAATTTTTTTTCTGTGAAACAAAAGTTAAATGTGTTCAGAAAAATTATCATAGTTTTAGTGACAATGACATATTTTTAACAAAAATTTAATTTGTACCAAATTTATTTTGTTTTGCCCACAGACTATGTTTGAGAAAAAAAATTAGGCTGTCATTCTGAAAATATAATTAGCCTATGTTTTTATAAGTAACGTGCTCCCTATCTACAGGCCCCACTGTTCTCATATCATAACTGTGATGTTCTACAAACATACTTTAAAACACTTTTTCTTACTGCAGAAAATTAGACATATTTACAGTGAAATCCGTTTTCTCTCAGGTACATCACCAGTGTAAGCTTCATACTTCTACATCACTCTTGTCAACGTAGTCCATAATTGCAATAAAACTGATCTTGACTTTAGCTTTATCTGGCGGCGTTTTCCCCCACTCTACCCTAAATGTAATAAATTCAGTTCCGTCTGAAGAAGACTGGTGGCAGCAAAGTCTGAGCGAATCACGTCACACTGTTTTGGACCGCTATCGCCGCCGTTCGGTGAGGTCGCGCTATTACCCCGCTTCTACACGTGCTTCATGGATATTCATGAGAGAGTGGGAAGGGCTGGTGTAGAGTTTCACTCCAGGAGGTTGAGAGCGTGTGTTGGAAGTGTGGATTCTAGAGTTGGATGCTGTTGTCGATGCTGACGGACTGATTTCATCCTGTCTGCTGCGCTCAGTTTGGAGGACAGAGCCCTTTTGAATTGGCGCAGCGTATTTTGAACTTGACAACAACGGGAAAATACAGAAAACTGGAAAGCTACTAGTGGAAGTTGCCGTGGTACGCGAAAGATAACTTGTAGGAAGATGGATATAATCTAAAAGGGATTTTTCTGAAACGACATTTCATTTTTGGCTGGTTTTACTGACGTTACGTTGGCACAGACCGGATCGCTATCACTGAAAAGCAAGAACAGATGAGTGTAAGTGTTTCATGGAAAAAGTGCGTCAGTGGCGTTAAACTACAACTTTATTCCCCATCATGCCGAGACGCGGCAAACTACAACGCTTCCATCGCAGTCAACTCGCGCGCTTATGGCAAGCTGTTTTAACATTTATTCGTTAAAACTGACGTGTCTATTTTGATGTTAGTAGCAGTGTTGGGGGTAAGGCATTACAAGTAACGCGAGTTACGTAACAGGAGATGTTATTGTAGTTCTAAAACAAATATGAATATGCATTAATTCATCTCACTCACAAAAAACAAAAACACAGATTCAGTATTCCTCAAAATGAATAAAAATAATGCAACTCAGAATATGACGCAAACCTGCAATAATTAAATGTTAAACAACACAAATATCCTTTATGTATTTAATCCCATTCTATTAACCGATGTCTTTGCTTCTGACCTTCGATGATCCAGTTCAACCATACTAATAAGCAAAAATTACTCTAGACAAACATTTGTGTGTCTTTTTTTATTGCTGAAGTGTGTTGAAATTTCTTCTTCTGCATTCTACTGTAGGGACGTAAATTTACTTTCCCTTCAGCCTGAGGCTTATTCATTTCACTTTTGGTGTGAAAAGGCTTTTATATTTGCCAAAAATATAACTTTTTTTATTTTAAAAACAAACAAGCAAGCCCTGTGCAGATTTAAAAAGTAACGCAAAAGTAACGTAACGCATTACTTTCCATAAAAAGTAACTAAGTAGCGTAATTAGTTACTTTTTTATGGAGTAATGCAATATTGTAATGCATTACTTTTAAAAGTAACTTTCCCCAACACTGGTTACTAGTACTTATATAAGTACTTATATTCTAGTAATGAATACTTTAATAAGCCTAACTCGGATCACTTGGATATTTGTACTCCTTTATAATGATTACATATTAACTAATAAATTGCAGTTTTAAATAAAGCAATTGTAATAATGAGATTACAAAAAATATGTACAATTGGGATAGACCATAGTGTGTGAAAAATATGTACTTGTATAGAAGTGTATAGCCTAGATAGTTAGAATAGATAACTAAACAACAAGACCTGTTATTCATTGCTGGTAAAACTGAAATGGGAAACATGAACAATTGGAATACATTATTAGTACAAATATTTACTAAGTTATTTGTCACTATTGGGTTACTTACTAGTCGTTAAAACATTAGTAACAGATGCTAGGTAGTTTTTAGGAATAAATGTTTAGACAGCTTGCCATAGTCGTTTGCAGAAAGACTTCTTGGACTTGAATGGAAGCATAATGTCAGATTTTATCACTATGCATGCTGGGTAGCTTTAATATACAGAAAATACATTTAGAATTTCTAATTTCAGTAAACACTGAAATCACTGCACTAATTGATCACTTATCTAGCTAGGAAGCCCACAGACATGCACTATGTAGTGTTTCATGTGCAATCCAAAGCTGAGATGAAACATTGAGATAATCAGGGAGAAGTTGTGATTCAAACTTGAGTGCATTGTTTCTTAGTCACAGTTTAATTTTGGATTCAATGTATCATCAAGTCAGTTGTTTGCATCTGTAGTTTAGTGCAGTTTGTGTGCACTCTACAGTATGATATTAATTGATTTATGATGGTTATTGTAAACATTCTGAAGTGGAAGTGCATGCATTGTTGTTTGTTTCTGGTGGATGTGGTAGAAATGGATGTTAGGCAACTCTAAAAAAATGTTTACTGGAATGAATCAGACCTACACCATGCTGTTTGTAATAAATCAATGCAATTAACCAGACAGTGTCAAAATGCAGCTGATATTGACATCAATACTAAATTTGAAGTTAGGAGCTATTGTATTTCCTAACCATGACTCACAAGACACATTAGAAGTCTATTGGTTCAGAGATATGTGGTGGTTCACTGTGCTTGCAACTGCTGCAGTTTAACCACTGAGCTCCAGTTATTTGTATATTCTGCACTGCTGTTTTTAATCTAGCCTGGTATTGGTGTAACCCTTGAGCAGGCCACAAAAGCCTCCTCAACGATTCTTTTCATTGAGGGGGTGATGTGTATTGCATAACTTTAGTTCTTTGCTTTTGAATGAATCTGAGAAAACACAATATACCAGCTGTGGCAGCCTGTAAAAACTTTGAGAGGTGGGCTTTATAAATCTAGACCTCCAGTATTATAGAAAACGGAAGGTTACTTAAACCCTACAAAATTACTGTATCTGATTTCAAATACAACAAATAAAAGCGTTGTATCCGCTTTGCAACATTTCCAATTAAATTGCCATTTTAATGTGTTTATTAATGTCACCCACAGCCTGACCTTTCTTGGCTGGTGTATCTCAGATGGTATTTTTGGCAACGTGTTGCACCTCAGAGGAAATCAGTTGCAGAATAACGGGCAGGTGTCCAGTGGTCATTTATTTAACTTTCTTGACACGCCAGAGCATATAGATTTTCTCTCCTTGCAAGACATTCCTCTTAAATGGGTTCATCAGTGGAATTCTTTTGTTAGCCGTAGAGAAGTGCTGTGCTTTTGTGCTGGTGACTGGCCGGGGTTCATCCAGACCACATTCCAAATCTCCCTCTGAGGATGACAATAATTAATATTCATCAAGACAATAAGGTTGTTTTCAGTCATTCAGCTCAGTTGACTTCCATTTGTCTGGCTCGTTGGTTGCCATAGTGCGATACCGCAGTAATTTAGCTACTGTTTATTAGAATATAAAGTACCGCCCATCATCGCCCGTTTGCTGAGCACCACATGTTCGCACTCCGTTTTGGGATAGATCCATAAGATTAGTGAGTCACATCCCGAGTTAATTCAAGTTCCAGTTTGTTCAGATGAAGTCATGAGCTTGAAAATTAACCGTGTTCCTCACGCAAATAAGCAGACTGCGCTGGGTCGTTTATGTTATGATGGTGTTTAAATAAGAACAACATGTTTGATTCGACAGCCACAACGAAACATTGAGAATCTAATAAATCATAGATAAAACTAGGAGGCGGCTGCATGCTAGACAGGAAGTGTAGTTGATTCTGGTGTGAGCCGAGCCGAAGAAAGGTTTAGAGCTTCAACCATTTTTTACTAGTTACTGGACTGAGTGAAATTCATAAAGTTTGCAATGAAAATAGCTGCAGAATTGATGTCTGACCCTCAGACAGAGCAGAACCAGATCGAACGCCAAAGGGCTTTTAAGACATTCCAAAGATTATGTCACCAGACTCTCGTCCCAGTGGACGATCAGTTAATTTCTCAGCTCCATCCCTGACCTCGGACCATCTCGGGTGAACAGAGATCCATTCGGATGTTAGGAGGAAAAAAAAAAAAACGGGGTCGTTGCGGAGTCAACCACTCACAACTTTACATCAGTCTTGATCTCATCCTTTTGGCTTAGGCAAGGATTCTCTGATGATCAGACAGTTCCAGTACCTCTGCTGTGGTGCAGTTAAACCCATCCTTACAGGTCTCTGGTGGAGCACTAAAGCCGTATGCAGTTGCAGCATCTGGTCTCCAGAGTGGTGTACAGAGTGGACGGCAGAGATTGCATGCCAGAGGGCTGTTGCCCCTGCATCTGCGTTTCTCATTAAGGTTCTGAAGGGAGGTTTGTCTGTACACATGTCTTGTAAAGCCATGTAGGGTCAGTGTGACCTCCTTCTTGTATTTACAGAAAAGGTGTTGGTTCGTATCCCAAATGAACTATCACCTTTGTGCCTTTGGGTTATGCCTGCAAAAATTATAGTTATACATGTTTGTTGCCCCTTGTGTGTTCAATAATTATGGATTTGAAAGTATATAGTTATATACTTTATACAAATAATAAAAATAATAGTATTAATTATGTATATTAATATATTAATTTATTTTTAATCACATAATTTTATTAAATTTTATAGGTTTTTATAAATGTATTTGTTTTTATTTTTCATATTATTTTAAGTTTGGGTAAGGGGTTGTGCTTTATTGTTAGGTTTAGGTTTCATAGGTTTCCCTTAGGAGAATTAAGTTACACTCATTACAAATGTCATTATCATTATCCCATTTATGTTTTTGTACCAGGGTCAAGTTTTTGTCTTAAGTAACATTTAGAAAAATTCATGGTTGTCATGTTTTCTGAACTGATTTGGGGGTTATAAAAGTGCGCAACTCAACTATGCCATCTCTTTTGAGTTATTATGGCTTCTCACTATTGCCTAGACCGTTTCCAATGCATTGTCATTGAATATTCCTTTTCATCCTGAAATGTTTTTTGGAAGTAAAATGGTTCGTGAACATTGTTTCTTCTTGACTCTTGAATTCTACAGATTTGCCCCCAGAATCTGTTCTGACCTTGTATTTTGTGGATGTCAATCAAAAAGACAAAGATTTAGCTTTAGATAGTACATAAACATAAAATGGATAACTGTCAAAGTAGCTTCCCTTTCATGGGAACTTCGAACTGCGTCTTCTAGGGGTCGCTATGGTGTGTGGGTGTGTGTGCCTGTACTTTCTTAAACATATGAGAGTGTTCCTGCTTGTGTGTGTGTGTTTCTCAGTCCCTGTGATGCTGACAGACTGAAATTAGCTTTGGATTCCCATATGCACAGGGCAGGCTTCCAGCAGACCCCAATTACAATGCAGCAAAGCCAGAGAGGGTGCAGGGCAGACTGTGTGGAGCCCTCCTGGTCTGCTCCCTCGCTCAGGCACACACACACACACACACACTGTCACTACCACAGACTTGACAGACTACCGCAATGAGGCGCACAGCACGCACAGATCTGACTCACACACACAGGCGCTCACACACACTTTTATGTGGACACCTGCATCATCAGACTCATTCACACACATTTTAGATTAACCACATGTGCAGCTGTGCGCAAGATTCAACACCACCAGTCACTCTGGAGTTAATCAAGTTAAACCTACGGACACATTGAGACATACTTACCTACTTAAAACAAATAACCTGTGGGGTAGAAAGTGAAAAAAGTAGCATTAAAATTTTGTAGAGGGGGAAAAATATATATAGCTGTAGTCCACCACCGGAGGGAGCCTCTCTGATTCCTACAGTATGACAGAGCAAAAGTATTTCCTGTGATTCTGTTTTTATTTACTTTATGAAAACGTGAAATCCTGTGGTCGATTGTATAGAATTTTATTGTGAAGTTATTTTTCTTTCACAGTGATTGAGAATGACATGATTATTTCCCTTGGCCTGAAATTGATTTTGTGGCTTTTCGTAGTAATGCAGACGGTGACAGGCTCATCTTAGAACTGCTCATGTCTTCATTTTGTCTTCAGTCCTTGGTTAAGGCTTAGGCTTAAATTGTCAGAAAAACATGCGAGTCGCAGTATGTGCAGGACTCAGCAATTAAGACATATACATTGCTATTTCAAAAAAAAAAACGTTTAAGTAAAAACATTTTTTTATTTTTTATTTATTAAATTTTTTTTAAATTATGATTGCTTTAAATTCATAAACTCACTTTTCTTGGAAAATTACACTGCATACAGTCCATTCTGTTTGTGTTTAAATCTAAGTGGCACTGGCAATCTCTATCTAGCTTACTTTTAAAAAATATGCTATAAAGGGGATCAATGTTGATTTACTGTGTTGTTTGTTGATGTCCTTTGATCCCCTTTATAGCACATTTTTTAATTAAGAGATTTAGTCAAAGGCAGAGTCAAATGTGAGGTTCAGTTGTCCCTTTGCATGTGAAGTACAATTTTCCTGTAATTCTTTTATTCCAAAAAGGGAACCAGAAAACCCACGCAATTCATAATATCTCGGATAATAAGCTCTCTCATAACTTGACAGGAATTTAAAGGATATTTTTGTTAATAGGCAAAAACTATGACTTAAATCTAAGTGGCACTGGCAATCTCTATCTAGCTTACTTTTAAAAATGTGCTATAAAGGGGATCAATGTTGATTTACAGTGTTGTTTCAAGAGATTTAGTCAAAGGCAGAGTCAAATGTGAGGTTCAGTTGTCCCTTTACATGTGAATTACAATTTTCCTGTAATGCTTTTATTCCAAAAAGGGAACCAGAAAACCACGCAATTCATAATATCTCGGATAATAAGCTCTCTCATAACTTTCAATCTTTCATCTCCTTTCTGCTTTGCAGATCCTTCATACTTGAGTAGCTGGGCTGGATGAGTCAAGTTCTTCTAACAAGCATACGTAAATATTTAAGATCCCGTCTTACAGAATGTTTATAATTCATTTGGACCTAGAAAAGGGCCTAATCCAGGAATCATAATTTCAACAATAAGGTCGTCATAGTTTGCAGGTCCATAAGCTGCAATTTTATGGATGAGGAATTGCTAATTTAAAAAGGAGCTGGAGGAACACTCAGAGGAGACTTTTGTGGTTTTAATATATAAGAATTGGCCCACCAGCGTTTTTCTAGCTTCATTTTGGGCATTAGTATTGGCATTAATATACGACAGGGTTAATACTCAGTTGGCTTTAAAGGGTCCTCTTGGCTCTCTTTTGCATCAGTGTGGGCTGCAGTTGAATAGTTTTACTAAAAAAGGGGGGTCATGTTAGCCACAGTCTCTATTTTAGGCTCCTGTCCATCATTACACAGATATTCTTCTGTAGGAGAACATTCCTTAAGTTTACACCCCAAAAGAAATGGGAGTTGAAGGGAAAATTAAGTATTTTAAGTTTGGATCTCTCTAACAAACATGCCAACATTAACTAAAATAATCATCATGACAGGAATTTAAAGGATAGTTTTGTTAAAGGGCAAAAACTATGACTAAAACAATCAGACAAAAAGACTATAAGACCTTTTTGGGACGTGTCTAACCACTTTGTGGTTTCTTTTCATTTTAGTACAGTGAAGCTTCTCGTTTTAATTATAGCAATAATATCTTGAATTATTAGTTGACAGTAAAATGCAGGTACCACATGTGTGCACATGGTGTGCTGCTGCTTTATTAAAGGTGAACTCATGCAACATGTGGAAAGCCACTTAAGCATTCTTGTCATAACTGTAACTGAGCCTGCTTGTGTAATCCATCTTTTTGTAATGCATGCTTTTTTAGATTTTTGGATTATGTCGAACCACTTTCTGTTAGTTCACTTATCCTTGTTTCTCTAACTAATGTCATTTTCCATTTGTCCTGTCAGGTTTTGTAAGAAGAATATTCAATGAATAGTAAGGGAAGGACGATTATGGATCCATTGCATCAAAACAGGGCTTGGTGGTGGATATTGGTGATCCACTATGTGGCGCTACAACTCATGACCATCCACTCATCCATGGTGCCAGGAACGTTGCAGCTCCAGCTAGATGAGGAACAGCCAGCAGGAACTGTAGTAGGTGACATTAGTGCTGGCCTCCCACCTGACATGACTGCAACCCATTATTTCATCTCAGATCATCAGGGTACAGGTGTCGGCACCGATCTGGACATCGATGAGAGTACAGGGATCATAAAAACCGCAAAGGTCTTGGACCGGGAAGTACGGGACCGTTACAGCTTCATAGCAGTCACCATAACCGGAATAACCGTAGAAGTCACCATCTTAGTAAATGACATCAACGACCACGCTCCAGTGTTCCCAAGAAAAAGAGCCATGTTTAAGATTCCAGAACAGACAACTATTGGCACCAAGTTTCCTCTTGAGCCTGCTTTGGATGCAGATGAGGACCAGCTCACTACGCAAGGCTACATCATAACGGATGGAAATGTAGGACAAGCTTTTTTTCTTGAAACCAAACGAGGATCCAACAAAGTGCTCTACTTGGATTTGGTAGTCAATGCAGTTTTGGACAGAGAGACCAGATCTTCGTACACTCTACTCTTGGAAGCATTTGATGGTGGTTCACCCAAGAGGACTGGACAAATGATCCTGGATTTGATTGTGCAGGACATCAATGACAACGCCCCAGTCTTCAACCAGAGTCGCTACCATGCAGTGATCTCAGAGAACCTTCAACCTGGGAACAATATACTGCAGGTGTTTGCTTCAGATGCTGATGAAGGCGACAATGGGTTGGTGTTCTACGACATCAACAGGAGACAGAGTGATCCTGATCGCTACTTTGTCATTGACACTCGAACTGGAGTTATCACTCTGAACAAGCCTTTGGATTTCGAAATGAGAAGAGTTCACGAGCTTGTGGTACAGGCTCAGGACAATGCCAGTCAACCAGAGGTCACCAATGCTTTCGTGACCATCCAGGTGCGAGACTACAATGACAACCAGCCCACCATGACCATCATCTTCCTCAGTGAGGATGGTTCTCCACGCATCTCTGAAGGAGCGCAGCCTGGCCAGTATGTGGCTAGGATTTCGGTCACGGACCCTGATTATGGAGAATATGCCAATGTGAATGTGTCTTTGGAAGGGGGTGATGGAAAGTTTGCTTTGACCACCAAAGACAGCATCATCTATCTCATCTGCGTAGATCAGATCCTTGATCGTGAAGAGCAAGACCATTATGAACTCAGAGTCTTGGCCACAGATTCTGGCACTCCTCCATTACGGGCAGAGTCTTCATTTACCATTCAGGTCACGGACGTTAACGACAACCCACCTTTGTTTGACCAGCCAGAATACACCCAGGTTATTCCAGAGGTTGCCTTTCCGGGAAGTTTTGTTGTACAGGTTACAGCACGGGACAAAGACCAGGGACCCAATGGAGATGTTCAGTACAGCATCCTACAGAACGAAGAAACTCATTCAGACTGGTTCAGTGTTGACGCAGTCACTGGTATCGTCACCACCTTGACCCAGCTTGATTACGAAACAGACCCTATGCCGAGTGTAACTGTGGTTGCTGCCGACAGGGGTCGACCACCTTTATCTTCTACAGCTGTGGTCAAAGTGATCCTACAGGATATTAATGATAATGAACCTGTGTTTGGCAGCAAGTTCTACAATGCATCCATTAAGGAGAACACCGCAGCAGGGACCTGTTTCATGGAGGTAGGACTATTATTTCTTTGTCTGGAAAATGCTGATTTTGTATTATACTGGTTAATATGCAGATTTCTGGGGTTTTTGGGCATGAAGTGTGTGAAAACCCCAATGCAGAATGACTGTATATTTAAGACAGATTGTTAGAGAGCGCTTTTCAAGTGTGTAAACTGAGTAAATGGAAACAGTCATTTTAGGAAATTAACCTGGAAACTAGCATGATGAATTGTAAGATATTGGGGAGCGAGCTTAAGTAAGCTTTGTTTAGATTGGACTGCTTCAGTTGGGAGTTACTCACTCTCCTCAGGCTGTGGGGGATTGTTTTTTACTAGCTGTTTTTACTTACATCTCTATGGAGGACGAGAAATGACTTAAGTATAAATAAAAAAAAGAATAAATAAATACATAAATGCAGAAATAAATAAATGTAGAAATACATAAATAAATTAATTAATAAATAAATATAGAAATACATAAATAAGTAAATGAAGAAATAAAGGAATAAATAAATAAATAATTAAATGCTGAAATAAATAAATAAATAAATAAATGTAGAAATACATAAATAAATAATTAAATTCTTAAGTAAATTAATGCAGATATGCATAAATGAACGAATAAATGATTGTCAAAAGTGTCATTTTTATTTGTGCTATTTTTGTACCATTTGTTATACTACATTTATTTCTACATTTATGTATTTCTACATGTATTTATGTATTTCTACTTTTTTTCTTGAAACCAAACGAGGATCCAACAAAGTGCTCTACTTGGATTTGGTAGTCAATGCAGTTTTGGACAGAGAGACCAGATCTTCGTACACTCTACTCTTGGAAGCATTTGATGGTGGTTCACCCAAGAGGACTGGACAAATGATCCTGGATTTGATTGTGCAGGACATCAATGACAACGCCCCAGTCTTCAACCAGAGTCGCTACCATGCAGTGATCTCAGAGAACCTTCAACCTGGGAACAATATACTGCAGGTGTTTGCTTCAGATGCTGATGAAGGCGACAATGGGTTGGTGTTCTACGACATCAACAGGAGACAGAGTGATCCTGATCGCTACTTTGTCATTGACACTCGAACTGGAGTTATCACTCTGAACAAGCCTTTGGATTTCGAAATGAGAAGAGTTCACGAGCTTGTGGTACAGGCTCAGGACAATGCCAGTCAACCAGAGGTCACCAATGCTTTCGTGACCATCCAGGTGCGAGACTACAATGACAACCAGCCCACCATGACCATCATCTTCCTCAGTGAGGATGGTTCTCCACGCATCTCTGAAGGAGCGCAGCCTGGCCAGTATGTGGCTAGGATTTCGGTCACGGACCCTGATTATGGAGAATATGCCAATGTGAATGTGTCTTTGGAAGGGGGTGATGGAAAGTTTGCTTTGACCACCAAAGACAGCATCATCTATCTCATCTGCGTAGATCAGATCCTTGATCGTGAAGAGCAAGACCATTATGAACTCAGAGTCTTGGCCACAGATTCTGGCACTCCTCCATTACGGGCAGAGTCTTCATTTACCATTCAGGTCACGGACGTTAACGACAACCCACCTTTGTTTGACCAGCCAGAATACACCCAGGTTATTCCAGAGGTTGCCTTTCCGGGAAGTTTTGTTGTACAGGTTACAGCACGGGACAAAGACCAGGGACCCAATGGAGATGTTCAGTACAGCATCCTACAGAACGAAGAAACTCATTCAGACTGGTTCAGTGTTGACGCAGTCACTGGTATCGTCACCACCTTGACCCAGCTTGATTACGAAACAGACCCTATGCCGAGTGTAACTGTGGTTGCTGCCGACAGGGGTCGACCACCTTTATCTTCTACAGCTGTGGTCAAAGTGATCCTACAGGATATTAATGATAATGAACCTGTGTTTGGCAGCAAGTTCTACAATGCATCCATTAAGGAGAACACCGCAGCAGGGACCTGTTTCATGGAGGTAGGACTATTATTTCTTTGTCTGGAAAATGCTGATTTTGTATTATACTGGTTAATATGCAGATTTCTGGGGTTTTTGGGCATGAAGTGTGTGAAAACCCCAATGCAGAATGACTGGACAGATTGTACAGATTGTTAGAGAGCGCTTTTCAAGTGTGTAAACTGAGTAAATGGAAACAGTCATTTTACCTGGAAACCCTGGAAACTAGCATGATGAATTGTAAGATATTGGGGAGCGAGCTTAAGTAAGCTTTGTTTAGATTGGACTGCTTCAGTTGGGAGTTACTCACTCTCCTCAGGCTGTGGGGGATTGTTTTTTACTAGCTGTTTTTACTTACATCTCTATGGAGGACGAGAAATGACTTAAGTATAAATAAAAAAAAGAATAAATAAATACATAAATGCAGAAATAAATAAATGTAGAAATACATAAATAAATTAATTAATAAATAAATATAGAAATACATAAATAAGTAAATGAAGAAATAAAGGAATAAATAAATAAATAATTAAATGCTGAAATAAATAAATAAATAAATAAATGTAGAAATACATAAATAAATAATTAAATTCTTAAGTAAATTAATGCAGATATGCATAAATGAACGAATAAATGATTGTCAAAAGTGTCATTTTTATTTGTGCTATTTTTGTACCATTTGTTATACTACATTTATTTCTACATTTATGTATTTCTACATGTATTTATGTATTTCTACATTTATTTATTTTTACATTTATTTATGCATTTCTACATTTATTTATTTCTGTGTCCGTATGTTAATAAGGTAGGCGGTCCTAACCTCTCTCAGTGCAGGATTGGTTAAACAGGATCGTTATCGTTACGGCTGTACTACTGTGGATACTAGTTCTGTTAAATACGGCGGGTTTTTTAAGTACCATTGCTAATGATTTGCGTTTAACACTAGAACTACCGGAAATCTATAACTACTAGAATGGCCATAGCGGTCATTCTGACCGTTCATACTAAACTGAACTGAATGCCATTTTTGTCATATCATATTTACATTCAAAGCTTCTTTTGAGGTTTTACAATGAAGCTTTGAATGTCTGTCGTCATATTTTATGACGTCATCACCCAACAAAATACAATATTTTTTGTAATATTTAATTGTGTAAGAGCTACGTAGACCGCTCCCGAATGTGCGTGCATCGCTTTGTGTCCGTCAAGCGGGAGAGCAAAAGTTTTTGTGAAAATGTTGTATTTGAAAGTGGCTGCTACTCAGTTCTGATATGGATGTAGACCTTGATCCAGCTGTGTTCGCCAGTTTTCAAGATGTAGCAGGTCAGCTTCACATGCGCTCTGAAACTGTGGTCAAGCCAGCCGTGTCTTGAAAATACACGGTCAAGCCAGCCACACTTTTTTTTTTGTTTTGCGCATCTAATCGCACACTTGCGGTATGGGTGCTAGGAGAGGTCAAAATGGATGTAAAGACGCTGTCATAACGCTGTTTCCTTTATTTTGCTGATATTTTCAATAGATTGCTGTTCACTGTGACCCAAAATATGTCTGCATAAAATTTAATTTAACCCTAAAAAGACAATAAAGCGACATCAGAATATATTTTTATATATTTTATAAACATTTATAAAATCTTTCCATTAAGTTCTGATTTAAGTTAAATCTACTGTACAAATTTTGTATAAATTAAAGGCAAATCACTCCAAAAATCAGTGTGCATTCTAGCAGATGCACCATTACCAATTTTCAAACACTCATAAAAACCTTTTCTTTATAGGTTTGCTCATTCTTTGAATTGATTCCTGTTCACAGTCACCCTGACTATTGCTGTATTCATTTTCAAGTCATTTTACTGTACAGTTTTAGAGAAATTTAAAGGCAAAATCACCCCAAAATGCATTCTAGCACTTACATCTTGTCCCATGGCTATTCCAAGCTCTATCATTGCAGTCAGCAGGTGTTGCAGTGCTTCAGTCCAAAAGAAGTTAAATAAAAAGCGCCCATCCATAAAAAAAAGTGTCTCACACGGCTCCGGGGGGGGGTGAACAAAGGCCTCCTGTAGCAAATCGATGCGTTTTTTGTAAGAAAAATAACCATATTTAAATGCCTTGTTTGTAATGGGTTTTAATGTTTTTGTCTCGTTGCTCCGGGACACACAGCATCACAGTATGGTAGGGGCGTAACATTTCCATCACACGCTTGAGGTATTCGGCCAATCACAATGCACTGGATAGCTGGCCAATCAGAGCACACCTCGCTTTTCCGACTGTTGAGTTTTGTAAAAATCGACGAGTTTCAGAAAGGCGGGGCATAGAGGAGAAACAATAATGTACAGTATGTGGAAAATAGTGTAAGGTTTTTTGAACCTTAAACCGCATAAACACATTTCATTACACCAAATGCACGAAATAATGTTCTTTTTAGCAACATCATAGGACCCCTTTAATAAATTTAGCAAGCTAACTAGGCTAATTGCTATCTCGTGTTCATTCCTAACAGAAACGGTTGTTCTGACTGGTTTGCCTAATTGACCAATCCTGTATTGAGAGAGGTTAGGACCGCCTACCTTATTAACATACAGACATAGAAATGCATAAATAAATGTAAAAATAAATAAATGTAGAAATACAGAAATGTAGAAATAAATGTAGTATAACACAAATGGTACAAAAATAGCACAATTAAAAATGACACTTTTGACAAAATCATTTATTCATTCATTTATGCATATCTGCATTTATTTATTTATTTCAGCATTTAATTATTTATTTATTTATTCATTTATTTATGTATTTCTACATTTATGTATTTTTCAGCATTTAATTTTGTTTATTTATACATTTATTTATTTATGTTTTTCTATATTTATTTCTTCATTTATTTATTTGTGTATTTCTACATTTATTTATTTATTTCCGCATTTATGTATTTATTCATTTATTTATACTTGAGTCATTTCTCGTCCTCCATACACCTCACGATGGTTTTCATTGTAGTGCAGAAGGTGTTGCAGATGAGTTCACATTTAAACGTAAAGGACTTTTCACTAGGGAAATTAATCATAAATAATTAAGCATTTCTGGCTGCAGGTCCTCTTGATGATTTTTTTTAAATGGTCCCATTAGTGATTCTTTTATTTATTTATTAATTTTTTTATTAAATATTAAGTTAAATATTAAATATAAAAATATTTCTGGAAAAAAATTATTCCATTGCAAGATAATGAGTCAGTTTGACTATGCTGGTTGCGCTGTATGTGTTTGATTCACTACAGTGAACCAAATTATTAGAGTCATTTGTTCTGTAATTGGACTAGCCTTGCTCTCTGTTTCAAGCTGTAGATTCAGTAGGTGTTGTGACGTCACTGAACAAGTAGTGTAGGAAACTCTGCCAGATTACTTTAGTATGGTATTCTGTCTGCATTTGTGGATGAACATCTTTTGGTTCTGGTATTTACAAAGAACCGGTCCTAGATTCATAACCTTACTTTTCATTTGAAAAAGTGTGAGAGGTCAGTTGAGGTTTGCACTTTGGTCTCATCTGGCCTTGAATTCATAGTCCCTGTTGTCTGCTGACTATAAAAGACACAAACTTTTTTTTTGTTCTCTGGGTTTTATCAATGTCTGTACAGGGACTTCAAAGTGTTTTTCTAATAAGTTTCTCCACAGGCAAATTCAAAGCTCGTAATACATTTCCTAGTAAATCAAAACGTGTAATTTCACATGGTCACATATCAAGTGAAGGCACATTAATGCTTTCTCTGTGGTGGATTTGTGCTGGCGGGGTTTGAGACACACTCCAGCGAGCTGACAGAGGGCCCAGCAGACGGGAACTTGGCCCTGGGGTTTCTCCGGAGAGAGGGAGGATCGTGCCTGGGAGAGGTTTTGGGACTGGCTGACTCCTTTCTGCTGTAGAGTGGGAATAGGAGCTGCACAGGGTCAAGTGGGAGGTCTGGGAGTAAAATTAGAAGTTTAAAGTGGTATTACTTAAGTTCGGAATTAGGAATCGGATCAGCAGCACTCGGGTCTACAAATCAAGTGCAAATCAAATCTGATTGAGTGGCTCCTGTCTTGCTGTCAGTTTCCATCCTCATTGAATGAGTGCTAATGGTTTACAGACAGTTGCCAAAAGACTTATATACAATATATATATACGAGATATACGAGAACAATATAAGGAGTTACTAAGTCTATCCTTACAACCATCAAAGCGAACTTGCCAAGGACGAGGTCCAAACCAACTGTCTCTCAGGCTGTGGCATGAACGACTGCTGTAGATGGGAGCTGGCATGCCACTCAAGAGCAGTTGGGAGTTTGATGATGCACAGACTGCAGAAATCACTGCCAAATCCACATCCAAGCATCACAGCACGGCACTTGATGAGTTGCTTTTTTCCCTTCATCAGAGATCCCTGAGCGCAGAGTTCCCACCGCCTCCCTTTTTCTGAATCAAAGCTTCTGTCCAAATGCCATTACAATGGGGCTATTGTGATCATTCATTTAACATCTGAACTGGGCTTGATTTAATTTTTTCCAGTGTATCCCTCACAGCGGAGCATGATTAGTTTAATGTGTACTGGCACTGCCGATTTACTACATTTTAGGTTTTGTCACTTTACTTGTGCGTCACTGCCGTTGGGCTGAGGAATAATTAACTGGGTTTTATTTTTCTTTTGGTGGAATTTCCACCCTTTGTAATGTGAAAACTAGCGACTATACCCAGTTTTATTTTAACTGTAAAGATAACATGCAAAAGACTTGTGGCATTGAAATCAAGGGTGTCTAAAATTATCAGACATGTTACTAAATTCTTATGACCATAACTCTGCTTTCAATTACTACACACTATTATTTATAAAGTGTAAAACTGAGTTAATTATCAGTCAATTTAGTTTTCATTCGTTTATATGATATCATTGTTAGTTGTGGAGTTTTCTAGTTTCATTGTGGTTTTATTTAAGTTTTAGTATTTTAGCGCTGTCAAAGTTGTGCTAACTGGTATCATTCGTTGAAAAGATT